AAATTCTGAGTTAGTTTTGTCCTGAAAAAGGTAGAAAAGTACTCTTTCCCCTATATAACTACATTTTCCAAATCAAAATAATTTGTCTAACCAATTTAAACAATGCAATGTTCCTCTTCAAGAAAATATTAATTCTATTAAAGCAAGTCAGATGAAAAACAATGTTAAATCATGTGAAGACAACATTGATATACATCCACATTTACTGTTTGGCTACTTACCTGAATTAATGTCTGATTTATTATTTTTGATGGCTATGGCAGAAGAATAGAATTAAATTTTTATGTTTTAAACTAAGCTGAAGGCTGCCCCTTTGAAAAAAACCTATGAATATTTTATTAATCCTCAGAAGGATCACTATTTAATGACATTAGCGTGAGCAGCACTTATCTTCATGTACTTCATATATAAGAAACAGTAATAATCAGTCAGCTCATAAATATGGACATTCAAAAGGCTGATCTGATCCTTGCATTATAGCACTACGTTTTAAAACATATGTAGCCTATATGTTAGTGAATGTGGAATAAACAACACACTGGACCTTCAAGGACATCAGCCCCATTAGCACCTGGCTAAGAACCGCTCCTGCCAGCTAATGACAGGGTTATAGTTTACACAAGTTATAGTTTACACAAGCTTACCAAATGAAAAAAAATAAGTGACTTTAAAACAGACATATCAGCAGTTCAATTCAGGCTTTTTTTTTATGTGCTGTTTTTATATACTGTGGCTCCTTATATACTCTGCATCGTTTAAAAGGCAAAATCAGTCTTAGTGTTGATTCCAGCCATGTCTAGACCCTTCCAACCACAACCAATTTTCTGATGGACTGGTTTCCTAAGCATGACAAAGGATTCACAAGATACCAATCCAATAGGACACATTTAGGATATGAAGGAAGAGGAGATCATATTATGAAAGTTAAAATCTGGGGAAACGCAGGGATAACTGATTCCTAAAGTTGGGGCTGTGGCACCACCTGGGGTATAGATCAACAAGTGTGGGGTCTTGAGGACCTCTACAGAAATTCAACTAAATTATAAACATGATAATGATTAAATATATTTATGTGTTAAAAATATAGAAACACCACTTAGAAGTAGACTAAATAAAAACATTGTTTTTTGACTGTGTTTTTCTTACTGTTATACCAATGGTTAATAGATTTTTTGAAATAATTTGTAATCCAGCCGATGGTTTGGATAATGAGACCATTCTGGTACCATTTTATGAGTCAGAGACCAAAAAGTTTAGGAAACACTGTGTCAGATGCTGTATATATAAAAACCAAAAATCCATTCCTCTTTGGATCGGTATCATAACGAATGAAGGTTCCAGGAAAAGTGTTCCTCTTTAAGTGGCTTATGAGTGTAGTTTAACTATTGGCACATTTTAATTAAATTGCTGTTAATAGAACTCCCATTATTCATCAGCATACAACAATAAATGCATGGTAGATTGGAAAACTGAAGAAAAATAAGTCAGAAAAATAAAATATTAATAATCCCATGAAGGGGTGACACAATTAATTGGATGAATTGTGATTAATCAAATATTTAATAACTTATTTAAACTTATTTAATAACTTATTTAAAAAAAAGATTTTTTTAACCGGGGCATAGAGACTAAAACATGCTCTTTGCAACATATTTTACATTTAATAAAAAAAAAAAAACTTCTTCAGGTATAAATGTGCTTTATCTATAACTTACCCATTGGCATTTCTGAGCATTTCCTTTTTTTCTTTTAAATCATGTTTTAGCCATGCATAATTTATTTAAAATGTGCTGTGATTGTTTTCTTTTTTTAAGTCCAAACATTATTTCCTAAAGTTTGTTAAATTGTTTAGAGTATTTCTTTGTATATTAATTGATTATTCAGACAGAAATGCTACATTAATAAAGCATTCATTAATCAATGCTACATTAATTCATTAATCAATTGAAATAATTAACATCAGCATCCAATACAGTAAAGGAAAGAATAGTCACCTCTTGTCACAGGTAAAGGGACTGCAGTAAAGCTCAATAAAGCCTTTTATTTTTTCGTACCAAAATAGGCAGTTAGAGCAGGGATAAATATTATATTATGTCAGATATAGATACATCTCTTTAATAGATTCTTTGCATCGGTGCTTTACTCTAACAAACAGTGGCATAGTCCCCTGGAAGAAACACACAGCCAGAGTCATACAGAGGTTTCCGTTCTCTCAGCTGATGAATAAAAATTATTTTCTGCGATTAATGGGAAAATGTAAATGAGAAATCATGAGTTCAGCAGAACATTCTTTGAGAAAGTGTTAAAATTTCAAAACATTTGGTCAAAATAATTTTTTTTACTATTTAAGGGCTCCTCTGCTGACAGAACGGCTCCATTGTACATCTCTGTCCTCCAGTCAGCTTGGAAGTGTTGCCCCAGGGGTTTACAGTGGAATGGGGGAGTGGGTGGCTGACAAGGTCCATACAAGCATACAAGGGCTGTGTCATCAAGAGCAAGAGAGTTTTTATACTCCACAACAAATTATCATCACATTTCAGGTGATTTTAATTCCTGACCTCAACACTCAGCAAAAGTGTTTCTCACACATTCTGTCACATGGACTCGAAAGTTTAGTTTCTGTGACAAGGAGAAACTAGTGAAGCCAAAGCTTTAGTTGGTATTTATGGAGGTGAAAAAAACCCCACAGCATATTGAGCTGAGTGCTGAGGTCACACATGGGACTAGCTCAGATATTTTTATGGGCATAAGGACAACAAACTTAAAAAGAAAAATAAACTCTCAGCAGAAAAAATAAAACAAACATAAAAGATGCTGAGTATTAACTGAGCGTAACAAACTTTTACCTGTAGGGCACATGTGATGTCTTTATATACTACAAATATGTAAAAACCTTCCCAAAAACTGCCCTTTTGCATCCTTCATAATCAATAAACAAAACAATTTAACGCAAGATGCTTTTAGGAAATCAGCCCTCATTAGTGCAACTATCATTAGGAGGGGAAGCTGTTACAAAGACTGTGACGATGATAATGGATGGGATGACAATGGGGATGAAGAAGCCGATACACTGTTTAAGCTGGTGTTACGACGAGAAACACAGATATGAGAGTTGGACATTAAGTCAGAATAAGTAAAGAAAAGGAAAATTAAGTCTGGAAGACTTGGAAGGGAGCACATCCAAGTCCCTTAACTTAAATATAAAAATGACACTTTTCAATTATATGAATGAAAAAAAAAAAAATATTTTCCTCTTTTAAAGTCAGATTGTGATATTTTATTAATTTACTTTAATTTGATTTATTAGCTTTAATATATTTCATACAAATCTTCTCTCAACTCTATATGGTTATTAAACAAGCACAAATCTCTCAACTCTGTATATTTAGTTAAGCAAAAAATATAAAAGTTTTTAACCTTTATTATTTTAATTATTTGGATAGACCAATTTCCCATTGCTTTATTCCTGTTTTTCAAACCCCACAAATACGGAATATCTTTGGTTCTGATCTTTTTAGTGTACTTACTATCCATTAGAGATGCAAGACCAGTTTTCAAAATGTTTTCCTTATGTTTTGTATAGTTAATAACAGATTAGAGGGTAAATGAGCAAAAAAAGGTTGGCCGTAAATCCTGGGCTGCGCTGGAAACACAAGAACTATGATTGTTTATGTTTTACAAAAAAAAATTATTAGTGCTTTTGCTCATCTGGCCACTGCTTATATTGGGAGAGGCCTGACAAACGAAATAAATATGGGTCAGATTGAAGACATAAAGTCTTTTTTTTTTTGGTAGTTAGATGGTACAGTAATTGATTATAAAAAAAACAAAACTAAAAGCTGCAGACTGCTTTTTCAATTTCATTTGAGCCTTATAAATGTTGAAGTCATTCTCTAAATTCTATGTTGAAAAACTAATATGCTTAAATAAGCTGTGGTAACAGATGATACATATAAATTGAAGGTTATTAGTCCCCAAATCTCTAAAGTGATTTGACATTTTTTTTTATACTTCAACCAGCAATGGTAGCTTTCAATGCCAGAATTATGGGGCAAGGTAGAATTACAATAGATATTATCATCTCATATATAATGGTATAAGAGTGTAAGGAGAGAAAAGGAGGGGACAAAGGGATGAGAAATGAACTAAAGAGAAAACAAAATCTAAAAATATTTGCAATGTCACCTGGAACAATAGACAGACAGAGAGACATACAGGGATCAGACCAAGATTTTTGTCCCAAAAACATGCTCTTAAAGCTACAGCGTGCAAAAGTCTGCCTCTTGGTGACAATATTATCATTACAAACCAATACATGAATGCATTACTCTTTGTTAATATGAAAACAACAACGACAACAACAATAAGAAGAACAGTAGTGAAATAAATCAGCTCATGGTACAGGCTGCCTTGATTTGAACCAACTCCTTAAACATTAAGGAACCAAGCTGAAGGAAGATCCACCAGAACGCTGCTGGACAGACCTGAGGTCCCCCACTTCAGGAAGGTGAAGTCCCAGATAGTCCCAGCCACTCCAATATTGTGTGCTTGTGTAAATACATGTGTGTGCAGTAATGCAAAACAGAGGAAGCAGGCTGATAATAGAAAAAAAAATTATGTTGATACAGTGATGTGTGCATGGATATTTCATATGTGTGTGTTTATTCAAAGTCGCTCCCTGGTGGTCACCCAGATGTAAGGACCAGACTGCTCCTCAATGATTTGCTTGACCTGGGAGTAAATTTCCTCTAAAGATGAGCCATGGACTATCGCTGCAAGAGGTACAAACATAAGGAAATCAGTGGTCTGCCAATTAAATACAACAGATGTTATAATTTAAGCTCTAAAGAGGAAGTTATTTTGTCTTGAACAGAAAGAGGCAGAAAATAAGTTTGTGAGACATTGATCCTTAGCTTTTTCTTTAACTTTCTAAATATCTTTTAAGTGCCTGCAGTGATTCTTAAACAGAGAACTCAAAAATTGCTCATGAATGTGCTTGCATTGACTAACCAGTGAAGTACTCTGCAAACTCATGCTCCAGTTTGATGCCTCTGTCGAAGGCTTTCCTTGCCTGATCCTCTGTCAAACGTTTGTTCATCTCTCTGTAGGGAGTAGAAGTGAAGGTTAAACAGAAATAATGGAAATATCTTTTAATTTTCTACTTAGTCTTAAGCTTAGGTGTAAAAACAGTTGTATTTGTTCTGGGGCTGCTATTTTCAGTGAGGTTGTATTGCATCTTAAATCACAAAATTAGACAGTTAAAATGGAAAGAGTATTTAAACTACATCTTGATAAACTTGAAATAATAAGGAACTTTATATGACTTGGTAGTGTTGGCCTAGTGATTAAATTAGTGCGCTTGTACTCTGAGAAGGTTGCATGTAACCGGTTTGATCCCCACAGCCTGCACTCTGGGTCTCTGAGCAAGACCCCATACTGCTCCATGGGCACCGCACAGTGGCAGCCCACTGCTCCCCAAGGGTATGGGTTAAATGCAGAGGTAAGTTTCTCCATTGTTAGATAAATACAGTTCAATTATTCTTATGCCAACTATTTTGATATCAGTCGTAGGATATTTGCTGTTGATGTTTTGGAGCCAATTCTGAAGCTGATATTCCTCTTTCTTCCTCCATTTGCATGATAAAATGACACATTGATAACAAATGTTACATATGTCACAATTGTAATTTTCCAAAAGCATTCTAGTTTAAATGCAGCATTTATCTTACTAACTTGTTCTTTGATTCTGTTACTTACAGGATGTTTTCAACATTACGTGGTCTAATGAGGATAGCGATGGGATAGAGGCCTGCCATCTGGAGACGCTTTATCGCATTCCCAGATACATCCAGGATGCAGTGCTTCCCCTGCAAGAGACATCAAATCTGACCATCACTCACAGACTGCACACAATATGCTAACCCTCTCAGCTGGTCAGCTGGGGTCTTACCTTATCGGCGACCTCTCTGACAGACTGTATGCTGGTTCCATAGAGGTGGTTATTATACTGTCCAGCCTCAATGAACTTGTGTTCCTGAATCTCTTGCTCCATCAGCTCTCTGGAGGACATGAAGTGATAATCTCTGCCATCCACCTCGTAGTCTCTTCGTGGCCGTGTTGTGTCTGAGAAGTAGAGGTTTCACACAGATTCAAATGATGGAAAAGAATATCTTTACATATATTTACATGTCAGATCGAAACCTTCTGTTACAGATATTTAGGCGGTGTGAATTAGAGAATAAAAAAAATCTTAATAAGTTTTTAAAAGTGTATTACATTTGCATTAAGAAAAAATAGCTGAAATAATAGGAAGCAATAGCAATAACCACATCTCACTATATTTTAATCTTTTTTTCACAAAATTAACACAGGCGGTTATAGTAATTCTGCACTCCCTGCTTACACTCAAAGCTGTTTTTGATTTTTATTTTTTTAGATTTTTAAATAAGAAATCAGCTTTTAATAGCAAATTACAAAGAAACACATCACAATGAAAGAAAAAAACCCTGATGCATAAGAATTGTTTTTCTATGTTTCTGTTAGACAGATTTTTCTGTTTTCTGAGTTGCCTCTGAAATTAATCATAAACTAAAAAAACTCACGTGGAACGCAGGATCCAAACTTTTCTGGAAACTCAGAGATCAGATCATCATTGACCCGGTCTTTCATTGGTCCAAGTACAATGACTGGCCGTGTGTAATTAACTTGGGAAAGATAAGCAGAAGTAGGTTTAAGAACTTGTTAAGACATTTGTTAAAATAAATGCAGCATAGATTTAAAATGCAAACTGCATTCTAATGTATTGACCAAGAAATAAATAAACAAAATGATAGAAAACAATGTAAGTGTGAAAATACAAAGAATTTTAGCATAAGGCACCCCTCTCCACGCTAGTTTTACTGACATCCTCAAAGCAAATTCTCTTGAAAACAAGTCTATATTCAGGAAATACATTTAAATGTAGGACAGGGATAAAACTACCTTTCAAACAAGGCTCATCAACTTAATACTATTATTAAATGCTATTTCCTCAATGAAAGAATATGAGGAAAATGTCATTCAGTTTTGGATTACCAACCCCCACCCCGGACAAATGTCGAAGGCGGCCTAAACAATAGTGAGAAAAAAATCATCCCTGCTCAACATCGACAAAATCTAAAAACGATAATACTACCAGAGAAGTTAGGCTTAGAAATCTGAGAATCTCAAAGGTTTTCTTGTACAATTAGCCTTTATCACTTATAATGACTGAAATTTGTGGATTAAAAACGTAGGAATTAGGTACATACCTTCCTGCTGCACAACAGGCTGGTAAGTGAGGAGGACCTCTTCCTGGCCAGCTGTTCAAACAGAGATATATCATAAATCCTACACCACATTAGTCCTCTAACCATCTCTATTTTTGATAAAGAATTCTCCAGCAGCTCTGGAAAAGTAGTAAGATGTGTCTTACACTCAAAACCTGCATGCACATAATCACAGCACAAGAAAACACATGGGCATGTCACACAGCAGGCACACACACAAAACACACACAAACAGATAAAATTAACAGAAGGAGAGGATGTAGACTGAGCTGCAATAGAGAAAAGGTAAAAGAGAGAAGAGACGGATTACAGAGGAGGGTCTACACTTACAGGAACTACTCTCACTATCACTGGTGCCAGAGGTTACCAGCGCTGGAAGGACAAGACAGGTCAGAGTCAACAAACACATCCACACACCGAACATACACACACAAACACAGCTTTCACAAAATGTCCCACATTCAACCAGTCAACATTTTTTCTTCCGTTGACACATTTGTAAGGCCCAGAATTACAGATGGGATTAGATGACTTTCAGCAGGTGACCAGCAGATACATAACATAAAATATATTTTTCTGATTAGTATATTTAGCACATTAAGGTACATAAGAGCAAGAGAAAATGGTCCTCCCAGCAAATAATAGGAAGGTTGGTAAAAAAAACAAACTTCAAAGCTTTCAGGTTCTGTTATAAAATATGCTGCAAGAGGTAGGTTTTGCATATTTTTGGAAGTGTCGGATACAATAAGAGATGGATCTGCTTTTATGAAGAGTAAGTAGTTTTAGTCATTCTTAACAGGTACAAATAGCTTATATATAACGTCAAAAGTCATTTTAGAATGTTTACCTTGTGATTTATTCTCTCTAGTAAAAAAATTGCATTTAGTTTTTTCCTTAATTATTGCACTTATTAAAAAAAAAAAAACAAATGAATCAGCAGATGTTTTAGGATTAACTGACAAATAAAATCTCGTTGGATGAAAAGTTTGCTATATTTTTGATGACTAAAAAAACAAACTATAACATAAAAGGTTATAGTTTTTGTAAAGGTTTGATTAACTGCAATTGTTTCAGTTGTAATTATCAATTTCTCTCAATAAAAATGTAGAAAAATTATATAACTGAATAATAAATATTAGATTAGAAAACCATCCAGACAAAGCTTCTGGAAAAGCGGTTACATTTAAAGACCAGCAGGTGTCAGCAATGGTTAGGTTACTCACCTTTATCTTCCTGATCCTGCAGGAGACAGAAAGAGAGGGGAGTATTAATCACCACCCACAACAATCAAAATCTGTGTGTATTTGTGTGTATGTTTGGAACTCTGTCATACTAACAACTGAGAGAACAAGTGTGTTCAAGAGTGTGATCAGTTTTAATTATCATTGCTTCATCACGTGGAGTTGCTTGTTCCCACAGTGTGAAGAAAACAGAAGGAGGGTGAGACCCAGCTGACAATGCAGTGATATCAATAGCATGTGTTAATCTTGTGTCAATGCTCAGCATCATACTGATGTCATGTTGTTGCTTTGGATTTGTACAAGCTCCAACCTTGTAGTCTTTCAGTAGTAAAATGCTACTTGTCCTAAATAAATATTTTAACCATGAAAAGATGTTCTCACTGAAAAGTCTGCAACTGTCTATTTTCAAAATGAAATGTATCTTTATATCATATTTAAAAACAAAAGTTAATATTAAACCAGATTCAATAATAAAACTCTTAAAGTTTCTATTTAAAATCTCACATTTTTCTCAAGTCCAATGCAAAGGAAAAGTGATCAGTCTTAACGAGCCTCAAAAGGGAACCTGTAGTTTGATTGGTTTAAAAATGTGGAAATAAGCTGATCTAAACTTCTTGCTAGAGCCACAGTGATAGCTGTATCACCTCTACATTTTAGTTAGGATCTTCCAGCATCAAAAAATTGAGTGTTTGGCCAGTTTACATCAGTACAATAACATAAATGTCTATACAAAACTGTCAGGTTTTGATACACCCCATATTTTTTAGCAGCTTTAAAAAGCTGCTGTGTGCCTGGTAGGCATAATAGGATAAAGGAATGTTCAATAAAAATTAACTTAAAAATTCGTTACACAAGCACTGATAAAGCACAAAAAAACTTTCTAAAGCTTTTCTATTTAAAATTGGGCTATAAGTTTGACTTACAATAGCTGGATTTATATCAGTACTAATGTATTTATCTAACTCAGGATAAATGTTCAGATGTATGGCCTGAATCCCCGCAGAGGCTTTATAATGAGGAGCTAAGGAGCCAAACATTGATGAAAATGACAAGAGCGATAAACTTGTAGTTTTATCATTCACTACCCCAACAACTGTTTTCTATAAACGTTTTCTGAAAATGTTGTGTTCATTCAATTAATAATTAGTTGGTAATAAATACTAATTAATTAGCAATAATTAGTGATGTGGTGTAACAGTGATGTGGTGTAGTAGTGTAACAGTTTTATTTTTTGTGCAATTTATGTTTGTGTTGTTTCCAAGAACCTTTAGACTAAGTTTAGGTTATAAGAAATGTGCAAAAAGTTTTTTTGGGTAATTTGGTAGAAGCTTAAGCCCTAACGTTCCTCTGACGAGACTATAAAATTATTGTTTACTTAAATTTATCAAAAATAAATCAGCAAAATCTGCAAAACATAAACTGAAAAAAAATGCTATCCCTACACAGGTACAGTACTAAAGGGATGCATAAAGATCTAACAACTGTTGAGTTATTATGATTTATTTTGGGGTTTTTTTCAGATGGAAATTTGTGCTAAAATCATTAGGCCCTATCAATTCAACAGATCAACATCTCCTTTAAATGTCAGATGATCATTGCAAAGAAAGTTTTATACATTAATGAACTAAACCCATTAACATTATAAGGTTCCAGAGGTTTGCTGAGAGTGAAAACCTTTTCAGGAGAAAGTGTTACTTTTAAAAAATGAAATTAAAAGCTCTAGCAAATGCAACTTTGAGGGTAATCAAAAAAGGCATCTACTTACCGATCTGTCCTGAGACCTCGACACTCTGACCATCTTTAGCCTCGATCTCTCCTTCTTCTCTGCTCTGTTAAATGAAAAATAGAAAAAAAGAGAGATTTTTATGCTCTTTGATAATTTATTAGGAAACAGATTCTAATAAAAAACAAAACACTGGAGACATTTTAAAATGAAATGCAAAATTACTTTGACAAATTAAAAGCAGTTTTCTAGATTAAGATTTCCTTAAATCTGTCAGTACGTTGAAGGCAGCCAGTCTATGACAGCAGTTACTCAGTTAGCTCTAATGTAGCAACCAGAGCTTCTCCATCAAACCTCTAGCTGACATGTCCTCTGCTCCTTGTTACCTTTAATCCTCACTTCACTAGCCTGTAACACATCCTCCTTTTCCCCCTTCCAGTCCATAACACTTTACATCCTTGCCTCCCTGTCACCTCCCTCTGTGTCACACTTGGATACGTCCCTTTTTTTAAAATGTCTTCTCACACCTCAGAGACCTGTCAGCATCTGTCTGTCACATACGACATGAGGAGGTGATGTTAGGAGGGAAAATATATATATATATTTTTTTTTTTATCAATCCCGGCATATTAATAGTTCTTATTATAAACTGTAATGAAACTGAATGACGCATCAGAAAAGAAGCTTCAATTTGTAAAAACCAAACGTATTTAAATTTTTTTGTGAAAGTACTGAAGTTAAACAGCAACACAAAACAGCTAAGCATTCAGTTTTAAGCACAGAGGCAGTCATGTGTGAGGAAGGTTATTTATTCAGTTAACCACAACAAAGCTGGTGTCTGCGTGACCAGATTATAAACGGACACACAAAAACCCTTCACTTGCATAAAAATAAAATGCAACAAGAAGTACCTCTAGGAGCAGTAAGTTGTACCATCAGAAACTAAATTTGACTTTCCCTGACTAAGCCTGTATTCATGTTATTTGAAATTAAATGCATGACTTTGAAAGTGTATTTAACCATGCTGATAACTGAATGTTTTGAAACTGAATTAATTTGCTTTGAAAATGTATGTCTCCATGTATGTCCTCTGCATCTTTTTTTCCTTTACACCAACTACCTTCAATCCCTCTTTAATTTCAATCAATAAATCTCATCCTTGCTTTTCCTCTAAGCATCCTGCCTGGCAGTTCCAGCCTCGACATCCTGCCAATGTACTCACTATCCCTCCTTTGTACGTGTCCACCCCATCTCAGGCTAGCCTCTCTGGCTTTATCTCTAACTCATCAAACATGAGCTGACTCTCTGATGTACTTATTCCTAATCACTCCTAAAGAGAACCTCAGCATCCTCATCTCTGCTACCTCCAGTTCTGCCTCCTGTATCGTCCTTAGTACCACTCTTTCTAAACCAACAACACTGAGCTTGATTCTTTCAAACTATTGCATTTCCTTTTGAAATACAGGGTTAAAAATTCATTCAAGGAAATCTAAATTCAGTTTCTGATGCCAAGAGTATCAATAGCAGTGTGATAAATTATGTATCTAGAACAACATCAACAAAATAAAAGTAAAAGTAAAAAATTCCTAGTAAATAGCTTTAAGGCTGTAAAAACTGAATTTCTGGTATATTACTCAGGAACAGGTCCAAACTAAGCTGTTTTGCTGTTTTTTGTTCTAGTTAGCACGTTTAAGTAGTAAAATGATGTAGGAAAATGTAGTATGGCTGAATCTAATGAAAATCATTCATAATCATTCATAAAAAAAAATAAAAAACATAAGTTACATTAATGCAATTCTTTGCTGTTGAAAATTAACTGCAATAATTGAGACCATTTCAGTCAAGATGCTTCCTACAGTAAGTGGTCATAGATAAATATGACTTTGCAATAGAGGTGGGATTTCTGTAGTCCAAAAGACCTCAATTACACGTTCCTTTCACTAAAAAACATGATTGAACAATTTTTTCTATATACTTTATCACTCTTGTTGAATGCTTTTGGTTTCAACACACATTTTATTGCACTGCACCTGCTCCAAGTCTCAAAACTGAAGGGATGCAGTGATTCATTTTCATCCACATTTTGTAACAACACATTTCTTCACATTTAAGGTACAAACTTCTTCATCATTGGTCCTTATTCAAATACTTTGGTCATAGCACTCATTTGAAGGGGTGGGAGTACTTTGCTTCTTTTATAGATCTCTTGCACTGCTCCGATTATTTTCAACCGTCTTTTATGTATTATTTAAATTTCCCCTTTTACAGGTAAAAGCCTCTCTGGAACCAGGCATTTTGAGCTTTCACACATCTGTAAGTCCTACAGTTGAAAGGAGGGGGACATAAATTCTCCATAACTATCTCTTAGGTCTTTGGCATTTTTATATCTTTGCCTTAAGAGGTAAGACTTATTTTTATATGGAATTTTAAGCCAAAACACCAATGTAATATTTGGCTGTCTAATTCTACTGCTGCCCTGTATTTTTTTCAACCTTTTTCATCAGAAATGTTTTAAACTCTAAGCTTACAAAAACATAACATAAATTTCTATCTAACCCTATATACATACAGAAACATGTACAGTACTCCATGTTATTATCCAAAGGTAAATGTTAATAAGATAAAAAACATACATACAGAAACATGTACAGTACTCCATGTTATCATCCAAAGGTCAATGTTAATAAGATAAAAAGATGATACCTTCAGGTAATATGGATACCAGCAACTACGCAGAGAGAAAAGCAGTGAATTCCCCAAACCTATCTAAACCATGAGAGCTCTAACCTCCTTCGGCTGGGGATGAGTCCAACTTCAGGACAGTTTGGGGGTGGGGGGCTAAGGTGACGGGCGGGCCACCACTCCTCTTCACCAGCGCTGCTCACATGGAGGATGTCTCCAAAATTAAATGGCAGAGCCTGATTGGGTGCACTCAGATCTGCAGCACTTCCATCATAGTCGAACAAAGCCCTTAAAAAAAAAAAAAAAAAAAAACATATTCAGTGAGAACCATTATTATTTTATTGTGCATAATAAATAACAATCTTCCCTGAATTTCCAGGAAATCTGTCTTCATTCTGAACACCTCTTTATATAGATTTAAGTAATAATAATAAAAAAAAATCTACAATTGTTTTATAATTACATTTTATTAAATCTATGCTTGCCTACCTCTGAATATTAATAAGTGTCTGTGACCATAGCACTCTTCCAGAGGGAAGAGACCTGGGAAAATAGGCCAGCAATATGTTTGTGCAACTGTGTGAATGCAAAGCAACTAGAGCTGAAATAAACTGAACTCCCAACAGTCCTTCTTGGGTTCATCAATAAAACAAGACAGAGACACAGGAGCAAGTGAGAAGAAAAAAAAATAGATATAGAAAACTGTGAGTAAAAGAACCTATAAATAGTCAAACAAAAGGTCAAAAACCCTTGACCCTAAGATCTAACAGGGCTGTAATAGTTGAATGAAAGCTGTTTAAACATGTTAGAAAAGGCTGTTTTTTCTACAGTCTTTCAAGGTTAATTACCCTGAGAATATATTGAATATAAAGTTTAAAATGACCATAATGAAAAGATAAAACAAGGGTGATCAAATGCTATCTTCTAAAACTAAGTGACGTGAAGAAAACAAATATTCTTTCTTTCAACTATAGTTACAAAATATAGGGGAAAAAAAACAAGAAACAGCTTTTTCTTTCCATTTACAGGGTCAAATAAAATCTCTGTTGTGAACAGATAAGACATCAGCTAAAAAAGAAATGCTAATTACTCAGGTTCATCCAGAGTATGTACATTGTCTGGCAAAAGTATTCACAACCCTCAGATAATTTTCAGTTATGAATCCGTAACATAAGACTTTTTCCTTGCAGGAGAGAACAAATTGGTTCACAGTAGTACCAGGAGCCACAGTTTTTAAATGAAATGTAAACCTTGGGCATCAGCTGATCCCTAAGTCAAATCCTAAAATTAAAGTGTGACAGCTTACACTCTACTATAATAAAAAA